TGTGTCCTTGACCAGGAATCGAACTGTGACCTCCTGGTGCATAGGTCAACACTCAACCACTGGGCCACACAGGCTGGACAATTATTATATTTATCAATTACAGGTGATATTCAGTATTTTATATTAGTTACAAGTATACAACATAGTAATTAGACATTTATATAACTTCTGAAGTGATCCCCTCCCAATACTTCAAGTATCCACCTGGCACCATACATATTTTTATGACAATATTATTGACTACTAGAGGTCCAGTGCATGAAATTTGTGCACAGGTAGGGTCCCTAGGCCTGGCCGGTGATCAGGGCTGATCTGTGGGGCAACTGGTGGGGCAATCAGAGGGCCCCCGTTGGCACCCACGTTGGCTGGCTTGGCGCCACCCTCTCACTGGCCCCACCGCCCCCACTGCTGCTGGTTGACTCCCTCTGGGGGGTGACCAGTGGGATGATCAGGGGAGCCCCTGCTGGTACCCACCTTGGCTGGCCTGGGGCCTGTGGGCAGCTCCTGCATTGATATCTGCCCCTGGTGGTCAGTTTGCATCATAGCGACCGGTTGTTCTGCTGTTTGGTTGATTTGCACGTTAGGGTTTTATTATATAGGATGTTCCCTCTGCTGTATTTGACACCCCCCGTGACTGTGCTGTAACTGCTAATTTACATTCCTTAATCCCTTCACCTTTCCCACCCAGCCCCCAAAAGCTCCATCCCATCAGGTGGCTGGCAGTCTGTTCTCTGTGTCTATGAGTCTGTCTCTACTTTGTTGGTTGGTTTAGTTTGTTCCTTAGATTCCACATGTAAGTGAAAGTATATGGTGGTTGTCTTTCTTTGACCAGCTGTCTCCTCATTTCTCTTCCACATCTCTTAACCTTCCACATTTTTCCTTCTGTGCTACATGTTGTGGGTTAAACATCACATTCGTGAGCTGAGAAAGAATGACCCAAGTGGAAGATAAAGGCCCCTTTCTTAACTCAAGTACGGAAGTAGGCAGGCTTAATTTAGCTACTTGTGGTTCTCAAGTGAGGACAGTTTTGCCCCAGAAGGGATACTTGGCAATGTCAAGAGACTGTGTGTGTGTGTGTGTGTGTGTGTGTGTGTGTGTGTGTGTGTGTGTGGCAAAATACACAGAACATCAAGGTTACTGTTTTAATAATTTTAAAATGTACTATACAGCATTTGGTGTATTCACAATGCTGACCACAGGGTGGGGTGGTGATCGGGGAGGAGAGGCAGAGGTGGGACATTCCATCATAGGGGGGACAGGGGAGGGAGGAAGAGGTGGGACATTTCATCATAGACCACGGGGGGGGGGGCAGTGGGAAAGCAGAGGTGGAACATTCCATCATAGACGGGGGTGGGGGTGGGAGAACCAGTAGATCCACTGCTCAACTTCCCATCCTAATGCAGTCCTTAGGGTCTGGCTAGAGCAGCGGTTCTCAACCTGTGGGTTGCGACCCCTTTGGCGGTCAAACGACCCTTTCACAGGGGTCGCCTAAGACCATCCTGCATATCAGATATTTACATTATGATTCATCACAGTAGCAACATTACAGTTATGAGGTAGCAATGAAAATAATTTTATGGTTGGGTCACAACATGAGGAACTGTATTTAAAGGGCCAGAAGGTTGAGAACCACTGGTCTAGAGCAGGCCTAGTACTGTTCTGGGACCCAGGCTCGCCTTCTGGACCTCTCTCTGGCCCAGTGTTTCTCAGTGGAGGGTGATACCAGTCTCCCCCACGCCCAGCTCAATGCCTGGAGACACTTTTGGTTGTCACAACTGGGGGAGGAGAAGGTCTTGGCGCCTGCTGGGTAGAGTCCAGAGATGTTGCTAGACACCCCACAATGCACAGTACAACCCCCTCACCCGGACAGCAAAGAATTATCTGGTTCCACATTTCAGCAGTGCTGAGGCTTAGCAACCCTGGTTTAGCCGACTCTTTGCCAGAAACTAAGAACCACCTGGGGCCACTCAATGTGGGCAAAGGCAAGCTTTCAAGTCCAGGGCGATTCTCCAAACTCAGCTTAGAGCGAGACACCCCTGTTTTCAGAGAACTCTGCATTAGGGTCTGTGCCAGTGAAAAGAGGTAAAGCAAAGCTGGAAGAGATAAACAGACTATAAAAAAGTTCTCTACCCGGCCCTGCTGACCTCTCCACTCACCTCTCACAAGGGTTCTCCCAGCTCCCTGTGCTCCAGCCGGGCTGGGCTGCCTGCTCTTTCCCCGAGGGTGCACTGAATGCAGGCTCTGCCCTTGCTGCTCTCTGCCTGGTGGTGGGTGTTCTGGGTGTCACTGCTGTGTCTCACACCACCCCTTCTCACACAGGCACTGCCTCCTCACCTCCTGTTCTCTGACCAGATTCCATGCAGGCTCCTCCCCACTAGGTGTGCCTTCTCCCATCACCCTGTCTACATCCTTCTAAGCCAGTGGTTATCTGGGGCATGATTTTTGTCTCCAAGGAGACACTTGGAATTATCCAGAGATATTTTTGGCTGTGACAGTTGGTGGGGGTGTATGTGTGCTCCTGGCATCTGTTGGCTGGAGGACAGGGATGCATCTTGACATCACACAATGCTGTGGAATGAACTGTGTGTCTCTCCCCCCAGCCCCAAATGCACATGTTGAAGCCCTAACCCCCCTCGTGTGACTGTGTGTTGAGATAAGGTCCATTTAGGAGCTATGAAGGTTAAAGGCGGTCATAAAGGTGAGGTGCTAATTCAATAGGATGGGTGGCCTTATGAAAAGAGGAAGCCAGACGAGATTGGGCACGTTCAAGGTGCATATAAGCATAACCAATGGACACAGACACCAGGGGGGTGAGGGCATGAGCAGGGTGGGGGGTGGAGTGGGGGAGCAATGAGGGGATAGAACACGTCTGTAATACCTTAGTCAATAAAGAAAAACAATGTAAAAAAATAAAAAGAGGAAGCCAGTGGTATCTGTCTCCAGGTGTGTGGATGGAAGAAAGTCCATTCGTAACTAAATCAGGGAGAGCTCTTGTTTTAGGTTTATTGCTTTTAAAATATATATGTTTTTATTGATTTCAGAGAGGAAGAGAGAGAAAAACATCAATGATGAGAGAGAATCATTGATCGACTGCCTCCTGCACGCCCCACACTGGGGATCGAGCCCGCAACCCAGGCATGTGACCCAACGGGGAATGGAACCGTGACCTCCTGGTTTCGTAGGTTGATGCTCAACCCTTGAGTGACGCTGGCTGGGCTGTGTTGATTGTTTTAATATGTAGAAATATCTATGGCAAATACTTCACCCCCAAACTAAAAAATGTAAAAGTCAAGGTGCAAAAGTGAATTTATTGACTTGGGCTCCAGTGAAACCAGGAAGACCTTTCTTACCAGAAACCCAATGGGTCAGCAATTTGGTCTTGGATATATATCTATCTATATCTATATCTATATCTATATCTATATCTATATCTATATCTATATCTATATCTATATCTATATCTGTATCTGTATCTGTATCTGTATCTGTATCTGTATCTGTATCTATATATCTGTATCTGTATCTGTATCTATATCTATCTATATCTATATCTAATCTATCTATCTATCTATCTATCTATCCATAAATGGTAAAGTGTATCATTTCCTTCTGATTCGTGTGACACATTTTTCTATCAGTGACCAGAAGCACAAGCGTAGGTACAGAGAACAGAGCAAAGTGACCGAAAACAGGGTGGGAATTTTTACAAGTGGGAGGGACACCTTTGTAGGTGGAAAGATGACGCATTCAGGTTAATTTTGGGGGAAAAAAAGCTGATAAAAATAACCTGAAGGTCTGGCAAAAACAAAAAACAAAACAAAAAAACACACAAAAAAACCACACAAAAAAATCAGGGTCAGAGAAACAGATCGGGGCATTCATCTTGGGGAAAGTGAAACCATGGGCTTCAATGAGATCAACCCAGACACGTGTCCAGAGAAAGAGGGGAGCCTGCCAGTGAACCCCGAAGCTCCAGCGTTGGGGAGGCTGGAATGGATGGTGCAGGAGCCGTCGGAGAATGAGCAACGAGCAGAGAAAGGCAGTGAGAGCCGAGGAGGAAGTGGTCGTAGACAGCCGGCCGGGGAACAGAGATAAAAGCCTCAGACATGGCCACATGGCAACGTGTCCACGGCAAGTTCCAGGAAACCCATTAGTGTTTGTCATGAAAACAGCTTCGGAGGAAGTGGGGGTGAGAAACCATTTTCCAGTGGTTGGGGAGTGACATGAAGGGGCACAGCCAACTGGGGGTGTGGGTCCTTTCTCAGGGTAGTCGGGCTCCATACACAGGGACCTGTAACACCAGGGAGACGGGCGTTCTCCTGCAGAATTGACTCCATGTCTGAAGCTTTAACTCTTGCTTCTTTTTATTGAAAATAAGAATTATGACTATTATTATTTAAATGAAGAGTTCTGCAAGTCCCCCCTTGCATTTCCTGTAAAAATACCTCACCTTCTTTTTCTTATATAAAAATACTTTATTGGAACATCAAGTCCTTAAAGCAGTTACAGAAAATGGGAAATGATTGACATAAAAACACTTGCTAATGTTCCTTATTTTCATCCATTGAATACACTTATATAAAATATGTTTTTATTGGTCTCAGAGAGGAAGGGAGAGGGAGAGAGAGAAACATCAATGATGAGAGAGAATCATTGATCGGCTGCCTCCTGCACAGCCCTGACTGGGGATCTAGCCTGCAACCCAGGCATATGCCTTTGACCAGAATCGAATCTGGAACCCTTCAGTCTGCAGGCTGATGCTCTATCTAGTGAGCCAAACCAGCTAGGGCTGAACCTGCAACCTTCTAATGCAGTGGTTCTTAACCTTCCTAATGCCACGACCCTTTAATACCTCATGTTGTGGTGACCCCCAATTTCATTGTTACAAATTGAACATAATTAAAGCATAGTGATTAATCACAAAACAATATGTAATTATATATGTGTTTTCTGATGGTCTTAGGCAACCCCTGTGAAAGGGTCGTTTGACCCCCCAAAGGGGTCGCGACCCACAGGTTGAGAACCGCTGTTCTAGTGTATGGGAAGACACTCCAACCAACTGAGCCCTCCCGCCATAGCAGATGTTCTATTTTTTTAACAGCTAAGTAATATTCCACAGACTCATTGATAGAGGACAAGCTGACAGCTGTCAATGGGGAGGGTGGTTGTGGGGCTGGGTGAAAAAGGTGAAGGGATTAAGCAAAACAATAACAACAACAACAAAAACCTTACAGACATTGACAACAGTATGGTGATTACCAGACCGAAAGGGAGTGGGGTTGGCGTGGGGGAAGTTAGGCAAGGGTAAAGGAGGGACAAATGTGATGAAGGAGACTTGACTTAGGGTGATGAAAACACAATGCAATGTACTATTGAATTGTACCCCTGAAACCCGTGTAATTTTATTAACCAATGTCACCCCAATACATTCAACAACAACAACAAAATACTGAGAACCTAGAAGAGACAGCGGGATCTGCCTGCAGAAGACATTTAGCCTCTTCATCCCTCCTCCTGCCTGGGTTCATCAAACTCCACGCAGTTGTCCCCTGGTTTCCTTCCAACATAGAGGTCACCCAGCTCAAGGTCAAGGTCAGCATTCAGCTTCACCTATGGCCACCGCATCTCTCGGTCATTCGTCCAGGGCTCCTTGCCATCTGTACCTTCTCCTGCGTTCCTGACTTGAGGCCCTTTTTGTCTTCTTCCTCAAAAGCCGGGTGTGGGCCAGGAGGCACATAAGGGCCACCAGGACCAGGAGGCCCAGGCCGACCCGAAAGAGGTTCTCCGCCGTGTAATCCCAGGGGATCAGATCTGGGGTCAGAAGAATGGTGATCACAGGCAGGAACAGATCAATAGCATCTCATCCTGTCTCCTTCCCAGGCCCTAACTCATGGCCCGCGGACTGCATGTGGCCCACACGAATATTCTTGTGGCCCGGCCAATATAACGGTATGTGAGAAACGTTTTAATAAAAATTTCATAACTTAATTTTTATAATATTCTGTTATACATAATTATTAATAACAAACTACAATGTTCGCTAATGACTGATGACTATAATCGAGTTGCATTCATTTCCCTTACGCGTCTTACGCACAGGCGCACCATTTCTCTCCACTAATACCAGCAGCAAATATTTTAGCAGCTGATGGCCCTGTCATTAGTCTTGGACTGACTTGTTTGGTGTGCACAACAGGAAATATTTCGCTTTTGGAGAACAAAAAAAATTTATTTGCATGACGCTTATGAATTTGTGCCGTTATTCAGTGTCTAGTAAGTTCATGTTCAAGAAAAAAAAATTATTTTTTATTAAAATGTCCTATTATTTTGTGTTAATGATGACTCATTTATTTCAGCCCTTTGTATTCAGCACGTCTCTATCGAAATAAGCCTACGTTTCTATGAAAACTGAAACTTTTGTTTTTTTGTGGCCCACACCCACTTAAACCTTGTTAGCCTTTGAGTTTGACAAGCTTGCTCCAGAGCCTGCATCCCCAGCTGCTTGCTTACCTTTCCGGAGCCCCTTCTTTGTGGTTGACAAGTGGAGTTCCCAAGAGTCTGCAGGAGATAAGGAACGTGGATAAGGGAGGAAAGGAGATGGTGTGGGCCTCTTCCACCCCAGCCTCTCTCCTCCCCTTGGACACACCCCATGGCATCCCAGTGCTTTTCAGGGTCCCCTACCCACCCTCCAGGCCCCAGCAGCTTCATCTGGCAGATGGAATGGAAGAGTCAAAAGGCAGAAGAACAGGAGGAAGAATTCAGCTCTAGGGCTAGGAAGCGAGTGTCTTTATGCCAGGCCTGTCTTCTCGCTGAGCCTCAGTTTCCTCAGTGAGTCAACCTGTATCATTTCTTCTTCCTCACACACAGGAAAGGTCAGGCTTGCCACTTTCTCAAGGTCCTACATGAGCTGCCCCAGCTCCACCCCATCCCCACTGGACATGATTTCCAGTCCCCCTGGCCTCCTTAAAAAATTGTTTTACAAATTTTTGTTTGTTAATCCTCACCCAAGTATATTCTTTCCATTGATTTTTAGAGAGTGGGGAAAGGGGGGAGGGCGAGAGAGAGAGAGAGAGAGAGAGAGAGAGAGAGAGAGAGAGAGAGAAACATCAATGTGAGAGAGACACATGGATTGGTTGCCTCCTGCACACACCCCAATTGGGGCCGGGTATCGAGCCTGCAACCGAGGTCCATGCCCTTGACCGGGAGCTGAACCCCTGACTCTTCAGTCTGAAGGCCTACACTCTAATCACTGAGCAAAACTGGCCATCTTCCTGGAACTGTCTTTCTCCAGAGAGCCTCAGCTTTTGCTCAGAGGCCTCCTTCTCTGTGAGGCCAGCTGAGACAACTCTGCATATTATTTCGACCTGCCTTCCCCATCCATCACCTTAACGGCAAAGTTCTGCTTTGTCTCCTCCCATCCCATCATTCCCTGTGCACGAGCTGTCTGATTGACGGATGCGCTGTGACCGACTCATCATCGGTGCCCTCCTGCTGGAATCCAGGTCACAGGAGCAAGGGCATCTGTGTGGTTGACCGACGGAGCAGTAGGTGATGGCGCTGGGAGGCTCTGAGTCCCTCCCCGCGTTTAGAAGCACCTGTTACTCACCTGGGGAAGAGGGCTGTCCTGTGGATGCCAGGTCAGCGACCCCGGCATCTCCTGACAATGGAGACAAGAAAAAAGAAAAAGTGAGGGTTTTGGGTTCCCTCTGATTTTCCCACCTATTATTTATGCCTAGTCATCTGATATTCTTCCTCACGAACAGTCAACTGGGCCTCAAGGAAATGGACGTGGGTGAGGCATCGCTGGGAGGTACAGAGCTCTCTCTTTACATCATCCCAGCTGGTCCTCATGACGTGTGGGGGTCCCTTGGGATTCCAGAGAGGCCCTGGAGAAACACCGGGGGCGTCCTCACCTGTGACCAGGAGCGTCACAGGCTCGCTGGGGAAAGACCACATGTGCTCGTTATAGGAACCGAAACACCTGTACGTCCCCCTGTGGGCTGGGGTCACGGGGCCCATGGAGAACGCTGCTGGACTGTTGCCGACTCTGCGCCACGGGCGGCTGGCCGTCCCCTCCTTATGCAGAAAGAACGTGGTCGTTGCCGTCTCTAGGTGGCAAGAGAAGGTCACGTTCTCTCCTGGGAGCACCTCGGGCCCAGGGTGAACGGAGAGGGTGGGCCTGTCATACATTCCTGTGGGAGAAAGGGGTTGGAAGGCAAAGGGCGTCTTTATCCTGCCTCCTAGACCTCCCACCCCTTCCCTTCCCTTGTCTTTACTTTTTAAAATATTATTATTATTATTTTTTAATAATCCTCACCCAGTCAATGGATATTTTTCCATTGATTTTTAGGGAGAGTGGAAGAGAGAGAGGGAAAGACAGAGAGAGACATCCATGTGAGAGAAACATATCCATTGGTTGCCTCCTGCACGTGCTCTGACCAGGGCTCCAGCTGGGAAGGAGCCTGAAACTGAGGTACATGCCCTTGACCGGAATTGAACCTGGGACCCTTTGGTCCGCAGACTGACACTCTATCCACTGAGCAAAATCCGATAGGGCCATCTTAACCAAATCCTCACCTGAGGATATGTTCATTTACTTTAGAGAGGAAGAGAGAGAGAGAGAGGAGAGAGAGAGAGAGATTGGCTGCCTACTGTGCATGCTTTGACCAGGAATCAAACTCACAACCTATCTGGTGTATGGGAGGATGCTCCAGCCACCTGAGCCACCCCGGCCTGATTACTTCGAAGTGCACAGTTAGGTGGCATTAAACACATTCATGTTGCTGTGCCACCATCACCCCCTTCTATCCACAGGACTCTTTTCATCTTGCAAAACTGAAACTCTGGCCCCATAACCAACAACTTCCTCTTTCCCCTCCCCTTAGGCCCTGACACACCCTCCCCCACCTCTATTCTCCTTCCTGTCTCCATGAATGTGACTATTCCAGGGACCTCAGAGAAGTGGAGTCAGGCAGTATTTGTCCGTTTGTGATGGATTTACTTCACATGGGTTTCACCCCTGTTGTAGCACATGTCAGAATGTCCTTCCTTCGTAAGTCTGGACAACATGTCCTTGTGTGGATGGGCCACATATGTGTAGAAATATATATTTTTATTGATTTCAGAGAGGAAGTGAGAGGGAGAGGGAGAGGGAGGAAGAAACATCAATGATGAGAGAGAATCATTGACCAGCTGCCTCTTGCACTTCTCTTACTGGGAACTGAGCCTGCAACCTGGGCATGTGCCCTTGACCAGAATCGAACCCGGGACCCTTCAGTCCACAGGCCGATGCTCTATCCACTGAGCCAAACCACATTCTGTTTACCCCTTCATTTGTCGATTGGCACTTAGGTTGTTTCTACCTTTTGGCGACTGTGGACAGTGCTTCCACGAACATGGCTATACCGAAGCCGTCTGTATTCAATGAGCACTCCAGGCAAGTCCACATTGGCCTACGCTTGAGAACACTCCTCAGCCAAAGGGACCCCAAGATTACCCTTTCTTCCTCCTTCCCTCCCTATCACGTTTACCCTGTCCTACTTTGTCAGGCCGCCATTTCCTCCTCATGAGCTACCGAATTGACTTACGCATCCTGACTCTCACTCCAGGTCTGTCTTGGGTGAGAGTCCAAGTGCCGTAAGATCAAGGGTACCTGGTGGAACCTCTCTGGGAGGGGTTCTGTTCTCATCCAATCACTGGCTGATGCTGGGGCTGGGAATGGGGGGCCTCTAGCATCATTTGAAACCAGTGTGAAGGGCCCTCTCAGAGCTAGAGTGCTACATATGCATGGCTGGGTTCAGAGAAAGTATCCCAGTCTCACCTCATCTGCCCAGCCTGTGTCTCTCATCCATCACAGGGGCTGTTTTTTTGAGGACACCCCTCCTCCAATCATCCTTCCTTGCACACAAACATCCATCTCAGCGTCTCTTACCTGAAGAACTTGACCTAAAACAAATCTGATCCTAGAATATAGAGATAACTCTCAAATAGATAACCCTTGTAGGAAGTGATTAGTCGCCCTCCCCCAAGACAAATGGTATTTGAGTGAGGTTTGGAAGAGACTAAAAGAGATGAATAGCCAGGCTGGGGTGGCTCAGTGGCTGAGTGTCGACCTGTGGACCAGGAGGTCATGGTTCAACACCCGGTTTGGGCTAGATCCCCAGTAGAAGTGCAGGAAGCAGCCGATCAATGATTCTCTCTCACCGTTGATGTTTCTATCTCTCTCTCCCTCGCCCTTCCTCTCTGAAATCAATAAAAATATTTTAAAAAAAGGAGAGAGATTAATAAATGATGACACTCCCCAGGATTCAGGCCTAGGAGGAGACTCTCCAGCTAGAGAAGGGGACACTTACCTGTTATCACCAGGTCCAGAGGGTCACTAGGCTCTGACCAGAGCTCCCCAGTTCGGTAGAAGCATGTGTACTGCCCTGCAGTGGAGGAGGTCATGGGCTGGATGGAGAACTTGACTTTGTTCGTCAGCCCAGGGTCGTTCGGTCTCTCCAAGGTGAAGAGTCCCTTAAAATGCAGCTGGTACTCAATGGCCCTGTGAGTTCCCTGGCACCAGACGAACACCGACGCCCCGTTTGGAACCATGAAACTGGGTTTGGCCCAGATGAGGGGCTTTGAGAGGGTCTCTGGAAGGGAATCAGAGGCTGGAGGGAATCCAAAGAAAGTCCCTCCCTACCCCAATTCCTACCCAGCTGCTGGCCAGCCCTCCCGTTGTTCTCAGGTGGAGACAGCGGTCGGCCTCACCTGAAACCCATTTCTGGGCCAACTTCTACACTTTGAACCGCGGACACTATGCCCAGCCTGGGGTGACGCTGGGGTTTTGAAGGGAGGACTTACGGTTCTGGGCGCCGGCCCTCAGGCTCAGATACAGTCCTGGAAGATAGGAACAATGAGCCAGGGTGCCCCACCTGGACCCTGGATCCCACGTCCTGGCCCCATAGGAACTCACCAAGGCAGAGCAGGGAAGGGAGTGTAGATGGCATAGCAGAGTCTACCAGGCGGGCGGGCGGGCGAGGAGCAGCTGGATGGAGGCAGAGCCCAGCAGGCCAGGCAGATGCACAGGATGTGGTGAGTGAGGCCCAGCGCCTGCCCACACGGAGCTCTCATAATGGACTGGTTTGCAAGAAGGCTCTCAGCTCTTCCTCACCTCTGGTCGGGCGGCGTAAGGAGAGGACATGGTCCTCACACCACGTCTGATCACAGCCTGAGGCCTCACCAGACCCTCCGACAATGGTCTGTCTTGTCTGAAACTCGTTTCTGGGTCAACGTCTACGTTTTGAAAGGTGGACATTATGCCCAGAGAAGGTGGTGTTCAAGCAAAAATCTTAGGATTGTTATTATTTTTTTCAATGTTTTGGGTAAATTTTAATTTAAAATAGTGCACTGACCGTTCTGTGCAGAGCAAATTTAAATTCATATTTTCTCCAATAATAAGGAATGCATATTATCTGGATTATAATGATAAATTATATAAAAGAGGTTTTTTTCTTTCTTGGAGTGTTTTATGGCACAAATATGATAAAAGACTGAATATTTAGTGAACTTTGGTAGATTAGCTGACTATTTTTTAAAATTTAAGCTATTAATGCTCAGTAAAACCAATTTTTATCTTTACACTGCTATTTTATCTAATGTACAAAGAATATATAATGTATAAAATGTACCTTGTAGAGAGAGAGATATACAGCAAATATCATATATCAGAAGCACAAAAATTAATAACTTAGTGGTCTATTATTTTTTAAGTTGATTTTGAGAGAGAGAGAGAGAGAGAGAGAGAGAGAGAGATCAATCCGTGGTCCCACTCATTTGTGCATTCATTGGTTGAATCTTGTATGCTCCCTGACCGAGGATAGAACCAACAACCTTGGTGTGTCAGGTCAATGCTCTAACCCAGTGGTCGGCAAACCGCGGCTCACGAGCCACATGTGGCTCTTTGGCCCCTTGAGTGTGGCTCTTCCTCAAAATACCACGTGCGGGTGCACGTACAGTGTGATTGAAACTTCGTGGCCCATGCGCACAAATTGGTTTTCGGCCTAGGCGAGTCTATTTTGAAGAAGTGGCGTTAGAAGAAGTGGGGGGTGTCGGTTGGTCGGGCGCAGGCGGCCGCGAGCGATTCATGCACGAGTTGAGTGAGCCAGTCAGTCAGCAGTCTCATTGTGCAGTGGTTAGTGCTAGTTGTGTCTGCAAATCGCGCGCGGGTGACAAAAGTACCTACTCGAAGCATAAAGTTACCTGTATTTTTCCAACCAGCTGCAAATCCTACAGGTATTTTTGTCATCAATTTAAGAATTGTAATTCTTTTGTGATGGCTTTATTATTATAAAATGAAACATTTTTTTTAGGTGTCCTGTTTGAGATGGCTACAAAGAAGAAGCAAAGAAAAACAGAAGACAAAAACCGTGAATTTAAAGTAGAATGTATCCACCTATATAGTTTAAGTTTAAAAAATTTGGCTCTCAAAAGAAATTTCAATCGTTGTCCTGTTGATATTTGGCTCTGTTGACTAATGAGTTTGCCGACCATCGGCCTAGACAGTCTCCACCACAATGTTTTTACAACATGTGGAAGGAAGGTGTCAGCCCCTTGTGTAGATAACATCTTGCTCAAAGGCTGCCTTGAGGGGAATAAAAGCAAAACAGATATGTTCACTCCTGATTGAACTTGTAGGCAGATTCTGACCTAAAATCGCCAGCTCTGTTCTCCCTGGGTAAAGCGTCGCCTGTTGGATTGCTCCGTCTTGTCTTCCCATAGTGGCATCTCCAATATAGGACTCACCAAGAGTAAGGTTGAGTGCTTCCAGCTAACTTCCTGTTTTGCATGGTTTGGAGACCTTAGTCTTGATGGGTCACAGGAAGTGGTGGGTGAGAAGCCAGGGCTACGCATCAGAGTTTCCATGTTGACCTTATGTAGATAGCGAGAACACAGCTCATGCAGGTGAGAAAGCTGGTTATGTGTGTGGGTTTTTTTGTTGCTGTTGTTAATCTTTACCCGAGGATATTTTTTTCCATTGAGTTTTAGAGAGAGTGGAAGGGAGTGGGGAGAGAGAAAGAGAGAGAGAGAGAGAGAGAGAGAGAGAGAGAGAGAGAGAGAGAGAGAGAGAAACATTGACATGTCGATTGGTTGCTTCCCACATACGTCCTGACCAGGGGGATCGAAACGACAACTCATCTTCTATAAAGAAAGGGTGAACTGCCAGGATGGCTATAAATCAACAAACAACAAGTGCTGGCAAGAATGTGGAGAAAAAGGGAACCCTCGTGCACTGCTGGTGGGAATGCAGACTAGTGCAGCCACTGTGGAAAACTGTGTGGAGTTTCCTCAAAAAATTAAAAAACAGAATTGCCATTTGATCCACTTCTAGGAATATATCCTAAGAATCCCAAAACACCAAATCAGAAAGAATATATGCAATCCTATATTCATAGCAGCGTTATTGACAATAGCCAAGACGTGGACACAGCCCAAGTGCCCATCAGTAGATGAGTGGATAAAAAAGCTGTGGGACATGTACACCATGGAATACTATGCAAATGTGAAAAAGAAAACTCTGTTAACCTTTGAGGCAGCATGGAGGGACCTGGAGAGCATTATGCTAAGGGAAATAAGCCAGTCAGAGAAAGATAAAATACCACATGATCTCACTTTTGGTGGAATCCAATGAACAGAACAAACTGATGAATAAAATAGAACCAGGGGCATTAAAGCATGCAACAGACTGATGAATCTCAGAGGAAAGGGGGAGATGGGAAGAGATTAACCAAAGAACTTATATGCATATTGGCATTGCCCATGGACACAGACAACAGCCTGGTGAAGGCTTAGGGTGGGGCGGGAAATAGGTGGAGGGGGAAACAGGGAAAATAGAGGGGACATCTGTAGTACTCTCAACAATAGAGATACAAGAAATACAAATGAAAGGGTGAAAAGAGACAGCCAGGAGAATGGAGAATACTTTGCGTTATTTTTTTTTTTTAATTACAGGAAATGAGTTACACCGAGGCTACAGGTGAGAATTTTCTCACTCACGTTCCGGAAGGTCGGGGTGCAAACACCTCAGACTCATACAAGAAACCACCACTCGATTAGCTTGAAAGTGGATCTGAGCTCCTCAGCGTCCCTTCCTCCCATGTGCTCTGATGTTATCCACCTGCAGCCCCAGGCATCTTCCTGGTGGCTGCCAGGGCTTGGTCCACAGGCCTACCCTGCCTGGCTTTTCTGCTCACTCGGGCTCGGTTCAGGCACCTCTTGCCAGTGTCCTCCGTGTGAAACCTTACGGCTGCGCCAGTTTTCAGCCAGTGTGGCCAAGAGAGCCAGGAGCACCAGCACGGCCGCGCCCAATTGGATCAAGTTCTGCACCATGTAGTCTTGGCTCATGGTACCTAGAGGCACAATTCAAAGGGGATGGACCGTCACTGGTCATGTTCCATATCATTTCAGCTCCAGAGCCCAGGAATGGGAGCTCATTTTTATTTTTATAAATATATATTTTAAATATATTTTTTATTGATTTCAGAGAGGAAGGAAGTAGGAGAGAGAGATAGAAACACCAATGATGAGAGAGAATCATTGATTGGCTGCCTCCTGCAGGACCCCTACAGGGGATTGAGCTGGCAATCCTGGCATGTGCCCTGCCTGGGAATCAAGCCTGTGACCTCTTGGTATGTGGGTCGATGCTCAACTACTGAGCTACACCAGAAGGGCAGAACCAATATAATCCCATTAACCAATGCCACCCCAATAAATTTAAGATAAAATTTTTTTAAAAAGAAAGAAAATCAGAGGTGGGTCACTCTAAGGATGTGTCAGGGATCTGTTGTCTCAACAATGTCCCTTAAACATGATTCTGAATAATGGCCTCTCCTTTTTTTCATTGGGTGCTGTCTGGGGAACTCTAGGAGAGGAAGTGAAAGCCAAATGTGACAGGAGTGAGAAGAGCTTCTCTCTCCTCGGCCCTCTGGGTAATGGCCCTCTACTGCCCTGCTGTTGTTTCTCAATGCATCTCGCTATGTTCCTGCCCAATGCCAAGGCCCCGGACAGCCAGCCGGAGCCCAGAGGAGGAGGGCATAAAGATGGAAAAGCACTTACATGTTTAAGTGAAATATTTCATATATATGTCATCTGTAATACAGTATATGAAAGGTATCCTATATAATAAAAGGCTAATATGCAAATCGACTGAAGAGCAGAATGGCCGGTTGCTATGACGTGCACTGACCACCGGGGGCAGATGTTCAATGCAGGAGCAAGAGGGTGCAGGCTGGGCTGAGGGACCCTCCCCCCTGTGCTCAAATCTCATGCACCAGGCCTCTAGTAAACAGTAAGTCTAATATGCATGCGTATACCATACTCAGTTTGAAAAATAGAATATTCCTAGAACTAGAAAGGAAGAATAACCTAGTGCTTAAGAACTTGGACTCTGGAGGCAGCTAATTCTGTTGCAATCTAGGCTCATGTAATCTTAGCTGTGGAATAATGGGCAAAACCACAGAATCTTAACGATGTAGTCCTGGAAAAAAGACTTGAAATGTCTGTGTCTCCATTTTCTCAGCCTTAAAAAAAAAGAGATGACTTACTTATTGGGTTTTTATGATGATTGAGTGAGTATGAAAGATACCTAAAACAATGCCTGGCAAAATAAAAAGGTCCACGTATATTCAAGGTTTCCTGTGTAGTTCTCCCAAACCCTTCCCCCAGAAGTAAAAACTCTTGAATTAAAAAAAAAAAGATGAGATGTACAGCCCTAGCTGGTTTTGCTTAGTGGATAGAGTGTCGGCCTGTGGACTGAAGAGTCCTGGGTTCAATTCTGGTCAAAGGCATGTACCTAGGTTGTAGGCTCCTCCAGGCCCTGGCCCCGGGCCCTGGTCGGGGCCCATGCAGGAGGCTACCAATCGATGTGTCTCTCTCACATCGATGTTTCTCTCTCTCTCTCTACCTCTCCCTTCCTCTTTGAAATCAATAAAAATATATTAAAAACAAAAACTTCCACTGGGAGTTCATGCCTTTTCCTGAAGGATGAACAGCACTAACTTGATACTGCAAAGAAAATTTAAAGTTGTCATCACAGAATCCATAGGTCAGGACAGCTCACCTCCTTTCAAGAGGTCATGATGACCCAGACCTGGCCCAGCCTTGACCAGGAATGCGGTTGTGTATCTAGGAGATTTATCTTAAGACTGTGGGTCACCACCATTTCCCCTAATTCTGCCCTTTTTGTATGTTAATCCTGAGAGGTGGTGTGAATTCAGAACTGGGTCGTGGACAGCTCCACCCCCCTTTCCGTAGGGCGCCTAGCTATGTCTCTTTCTAGTGTCCCTTCAATTTCTTACAAAAGGGGCGTAGAAATATGAGCATGTGACTTTCATATGTTTTATGTAGAGTTCTTCCAGGTCTAAAATTTCAAAATGGTTTACCTTCACTACAAGTATGTTTCAATCTAATATAGACATTTTATCCTCTTGGTGTGTTGAGCATGAAGAACATGTTCAACAAAACAAAAAAGAGCTTGTTATAAAAGAAAAAAATAGAAAATTATGTTAAAAAATCAATATGTGATTGTAGAGTTTAGAAAACTAAATATGACAGTCTAGACATGAAGTAAGCATAAAAGTTCACCGTGTTCCACGGACTCACCAACTGGCCCAGCACCACCTGATGGAAAGACCATACTCCCCCCCATCCCCCGCCCCATTGCACGGCAAAGATCTGTCATGATCGAGGTGACTCCACGCGAGGGGTCTGATCTGGAGTCTTCCTTCTGCTCCTTTGGACGAGGTGCTTCTGCTTTTCAATTTCTCAAACTGCCACCATCTCCATCTATACCTGACAGGCTGGTTTCCATCACCCCACATCTCAGGTAGGGTGAATTCTCACCACATTTGTAGGAGCGGTGTTGGTATCACACGGCTACAAATGAGGGAAGTAAGACCAAGAGCGGAAGCAGGTTGCTCAAGTATCCTCCAACCAGTCAGGCTGTGGTAGAGCCACAGTAGTTATTTAAAGTATGTTTCTCAGTGTGTCTTACTGTCTTGGAACAGGACTCTCATGAATGACAATTTTTTTTTCTGAAACCTGAAAGTTCTCTACAGTTTGAAGAGAAGAGTGACACCTGGCATCAAAGGTGCTCTGAAGGGGTAGAAATGACTCAATGATTTACCCCCAGGAGATAGAGAGATCCCGTTGCTCATAGAGACAGAAAGTCAGGTGGAACCTGTGTGAGATGTAGGACCTGTGTCCCAGGGCCAGGAGGAGGTGCTGAGCTGCCCTGTGGGAGCAGGTGCATCTTGCACAGCCCCCAGGCTCCTCCCTCCCCACCCCTGGGCTCACTGTCCTGAGGGCCCCATGGTGCCCCCAGTCAACAAGGCAGGGAGAAAGGTCACCTTCACATACCCCAAGGCAGCCGTCATGTCCACCACCTTCCTGAGCTCTGAGCTCCACACCCTCACTCCCTTCTCCAGTTCACTCTCCACATGGGCATCTAACCTTATTTCAGAATCTGTCCATTTTTTGCTCAAATTCCTTCCAGGGTCCTCACTGTCTTTAGGGTAAATCCAGACTCTTCATTTTGAACAGAAGGCTGTTCATGATCATCCAGATGGGACGCTCCAATCTCAGCTCTAACTTCTGCTTCCTTCAACCAGACAGGTGTAGTTACCCCATGAACACGCACACACACACACACACACACACACTCATACACACTCATACAAACACACACTCATACACACACTCATACACACTCATACACACACACTCATACACACACACAATCATACACACACACACTCATACACACACACTCATACACACACACTCATGCACACACACTCATACACACACACACACTCATACACACTCATACACACACTCTGATGCACACACACACACACACGCACACTCACACCATCTATTATTGAACATGCTTGTGCTCCTTCATATCTGCTTTCTTAGAGTTCTATAGGACTAGCAAGCTCCTTCCCAAGGCCACAGCTTAAAGCACAGGCCTAGAAGCAACACTGAGGTTCCTTCTTCTCATTTCTCTTCCCTGCATGTGTTGTGACTGCTCAGGGCTATGCAAGGATTGTGTGGTAAATCCATGTAAGACATTCATGGAGCGTGGCTGGAAACACAAGGTTGGAGTTCAGTTACAGTCGATGTTATCTTTTATTGCCATGCATTTCATTTCTCTGGTTCGTTTGTGATACATGGCCCATATGATCTTCATAACTCAGGCTGACCATCACAGTCCATTCCTATGCATTCCTTTTGCCTTATAGACAGAATCCCACATCCTTGCATGGGGAGGGCGGGGTGGGGGTGGAGCACGCCTATGACCAGCCACCACCTCACCCTCTCTTACTGTTGATCAGAGACTCTCTATGTCTCTAGGGTTCTCTAGAATGTTCCTTCCTGTCAAGAATATTCTCACTCCCACCTCTTTGGACTCCATCTCTTCAAATAGCCATCCCCTCAACCATGGTCTAGTCATGGTCCCCAGATCTTCCCACATTTTCTCTCCTTTCTCCTTTGTAAGTGAAGTCATTGGAATATTAGCCTTCGAATGCCCATACTCGGCCAAGAAGAATTTGCAAAATACAGGTGATGGGTCTCCTGGATCCAACACGGATGTATTTCTGGTTCAGGCACAAATACTCGGCAGATAGTAGGTGATCAATAAATATTTGCTTATGGACGAGTCAAAGACCAAAAGTCAATTATGTTCATGGGAGGAAATTAGTAACTTCTATTCAGAGGATCGAGTCAGGACAAGGACCTGGGTCCCGGAGTAGGATTTCAGATCCGGCAGAGTCCTGGGAGTCACAAGCGACTCCAGATCTGGGCTGTTTCTCCAGAGGCCCTGGGGTCCTCCTGAGCACGCATCATGGAAAAAACCCAGAGCCAGCCCAAAGAAGGGGCCGTCCCCGGGCTGTGGGTCCACAGCTGTGACAACCCGGAAGGGCGGCAGCAGCTCCTGATTCGCCACATCCTGTGCGTATCTGTCCTTCAGGCCCAAGGCCTCCTCCATCTTCAGAGCAGGAGCCCTCAGAGGAGACGCCATGACGTCCATCCTCACTGCTCTTCTCTGCCTTGGTCAGTTGCGGACGTGGGGACGGGGAGCAGGCGGGAGGGGGAGGCTCACACTCTGTTGCTTATGGGGAACCTCAGGCTCAAGCAGCTCAGATGGACCAGACAAGATGGGAAGGGATTCAGCTGAGACATCCGGGTACAAATCTCTCACAGAGACTCTCTTCCAGGGCTGAGTCTGGACCAGAGGATCCGTGCGCAGGCAGGTGAGTCCTCCCCAGGCTCCATGTCTTTCCCCTTACTTCATCCCTGAGGCTCAGGAGGGAGCACAGAGGTGCTGGGATGAGGAGATAAAATG